ATACAATGATTTTAATAACCTGGATATTATCTACAATGATTTTAATAACCTGGATATTATATACAATGATTTTAATAACCTAGATACTATATACAATGATTTTATTAACCTGGATTTTATATACAATGATTTTCATAATCTGGATATTATATACAATGATTTTAATAACCTAGATATTATATACAATGATTTTAATAACCTAGATACTATAAACAATGATTTTAATAACCTAGATATTATATACAATGATTTTAATAACCTAGATATTATAAACAATGATTTTAATAACTGAGATATTATATACAATGATTTTAATAACCTGGATATTATATACAATGATTTTAATAATCTGGATATTATATACAATGATTTTAATAACCTGGATATTATATACAATGATTTTAATAATCTGGATATTATATACAATGATTTTAATAACCTAGATATTATATACAATGTTTTTAATAACCTAGATAGTAGATACCATGATTTTAATAACCTGGATATTATATGCAATGATTTTAATAACCTAGATATTATATACAATGATTTTAATAATCTAGATATTATATACAATGTTTTTAATAACCTAGATAGTAGATACAATGATTTTAATAACCTGGATATTATATGCAATGATTTTAATAACCTAGATATTATCTACAATGATTTTAATAACCTAGATATTACTGTAAAGGGGGTAATTATTCACTGGGTTTTAATTTAGCTTATTTCACTGACTGGGAAAATGCGCTAAATTAAAACACAGTGAATATGTAAAATTTAGCATAGAACACATTATCTAAATGACGAAACCGTGAATTTAAAACCTACGGAATATGCCTGAAATGGTAAATCAGTGAAATTTTAACCCAGTGAAAATTAGTCATTTTACAGTATATACAATGTTTTTAGTATCCTAGATAGTAGATACAATGATTTTGATAACCTGGATATTATATGCAATGATTTTAATAACCTAGATATTATATACAATGATTTTAAGAATCTAGATATTATATACAATGATTTTAATAACCTAGATATTATCTACAATGATTTTAATAACCTGGATATTATATACAATGATTTTAATAACCTGGATATTATATACAATGATTTTAATAACCTAGATATTATATACAATGATTTTAATAACCTAGATATTATAAACAATGATTTTAATAACTGAGATATTATATACAATGATTTTAATAACCTGGATATTATATACAATGATTTTAATAATCTGGATATTATATACAATGATTTTAATAACCTGGATATTATATACAATGATTTTAATAAT